GGAAAAGTCCAAATGGAATATTGATGCTGGATAGGCAGTGGAAGAAATGTGAGGCATCTTATTGAACGGGGAGGGCTCACATGAAACCGAAATGTGCTATGCAATTTAAAAATACCCATCCACACCTCACTGCTGCCGCCCCCCATCCCCCCCACCCCCAGCTGTCAGACATCACCAATCCATCACTGAGTGTATGGATTACTGTGTCACAGGCTTCTCCCTAACATTTGTGAGGCCCAGGACAAGGGCACAGAGAACCCCTCCAGGAACCTCACATGGCTGTGGGGCAATCTAGCCCTCAAGTCCAAGCTTCATTTACATCCCTCTGTAAACAGCCCCTCCTTAGGAATGACTCCTTTTAAATAGCTACCACTTGGGCCTAGAGGTGCACACATGGTCACCCAGTTATGCCTTAGGGGGAACTGAATCCCCTAGGGAGGTGCTAGCATAGGTACTAGAATTGTACTCAGGACCGTTCAAGCATGGAGTTCTGTGGGCCCAGGTATCCAGAGGGTGACCCACAAAGAGAGAGATCATAGGCCCCAGATGGACACATGCCCTTGACACAGTGCATTCCTTACGATGGTAGGTAGCACGGGCAGAGTGGGACCTCTAAGAGCCCAGCACCCCAGCTCTAACAGCCATCCTGACAGATTGCATGGGTCAGGAATAACATATACTATGTGCCAGGCACTGTGCTATGACCTTCACCTAATATCTCCCTAAATTGTTACCACAACCCCATGGAGTTGGTGCTATTATTATCTCCATTTCACAGGTAAACTGAGGCTCAGAGAGGTTGAGTCACTTGCCTAAAGTCACACAGCTAGCAAAAGGTAGAGACAATCTCTATGTAGGCAGCTGAGGGGAGATCACGTAATTAACAAAACATACCTGGAATTCCGTATGCAGGACAGCCTCTGTTATTCAGTAAGTGACAGTATTTGCAAAAAGAAAAGAGCTTGAGATTCCTAGTATTGAAGTAAGAGCCCAGATATTCCACTGACCGATTAACCTAATGCTTTGGCTGGGAACAGTTCTCATATAAAAGCAGAAGCCAAGGCTCAGAGCAAGGACGTAGCTGCAGAAAGTCACACAGTGAATAGCCAAGTCTGGCTCTAAAACCACAATGATAAAGCACTTCACACCCACTAGGATGGCTATAATTTTTAAAAGACAGATAATAACAAGTGTTATACTGCTGGTGGTAATGTAAAATGGTACAGTCGCTAAACAGTATGGCCATCCCACAAAAGTTAAGCATAGTGTTATCATATGACTCAGCAATTCCACTCCTAGGTAGATACCCCAAAGAATTGAAAACATAGATCCACACAAAAATTTACACATAAATTTTCACAGCAGCACTATTCACAATAAGAAAAGGTAGAAACAACTCAAATGTCTATCAGCTGATGAACGGATACAAAAAATGTGGTCTGTCCATACAGTGGAATATTATTTGGTCATAGAAAGAGTGAAATACTGATACATGCTACAACATGGATGAACCTTAAAAACACTATGCTAAATGAAAGAAGCCAGTCTCACACACACACACACACACACACACACACAAACACACAAACACACGTGCACACACAAAAATACTATATGATTCCATTTATGAAATGGCCAGAATAGGCAAATCCATAGAGACAGAAAATAGTTCAATGGTTGCATAGGGCAGGGGAAGCTTTGAGGTAAATGGAAAGTGATTAATGGGTATAGAAACCTATTGCAGACCTATCATAAAAAGATTCCTCATGGGTATAGGAGTTTCTTTTTGATGAAAATGTTCTAGAATTAATTGTTATACAACTCTGTGAATACTAAAAATCATTGAATTGAATATTTTAAACAGGTGGATTTTACGGTTTGTGATTTACATCTCAATGAAGCTGTTATATTAAAAATTAGTGGGGGAAACTGGGTGTGAGATGTGAGAACTCTGTACTATTTTCATATTTTTTCTGTAAACCTAAAACAGTTCTAAAATTAAAGTTTATTTTTAAAAAGTTATAGATAAAGAGAACATACCCAGTTGACTTACTGGCTTTCCAGGAAACAGTCTTCTCCCACCCGTCTGTCCCAAGAAAACAAGGAAAATATAAACCAGCAACATTCTTAGTTCTCAAGCTGAAGTTCAGAAGGGAGGGTGCACACATGGGTCCATGTAAGCAAACAAGAGAATCAAGAACCCATAGGAGGTCTTGACTGCAAATAGGAGGATTGGCTAGAAGTGTTCCAGATCCAACGTAAGTGAAAGCAAAAGAAACTGATGTTGTACCTATGCAAAAATTCTACAGAAAAAAAAAGGGAGGAAGGAATCAAGGAAGGAGAAGGAGACAGGAAGAATAGCAGCATGCAAAGGAAAGATGCAGTATACATTCTGGAAGAAGATACCCCCAGGAATAGAAAAAAATATTAGATAAGAAATGGTTTTGCATTCTCAAAGACAACTCAGATTCTTTGAAACAAGAGTTTGAAGTTGAGACAAGGCAATAGAATGAGTCGAGAGGAGGTTGTGGGACTAAGAAAAGAAACCAAGGATAAAAATAATACCACTGCAGAGTTCATAAATATAGTAGAGCAATATTAAGGGTATAGTTGACATGATAGGAAACCGAGGCAAGAAAATGGGAGACAGATTTGAGAAATGTTACACAGCATGCAGAAGAAATTAACCCAATGTGCAGTAGAGGTGATCTCTAGGACCATCCTCTGAACCCAGAAATAGGATGTACTTGCAAGCTGTTTGACCTTGGATAAATAACTTAACCTCTCTTCTGAATTCTTGTCTATAAAATTGTGCTGATAACAATATCTACCACATGGAGTTATTATGGGGTGTACAGGGTCAAGAGGGTGGGCTCTGCCCACTGAAGCTGCCAGGATTGACTCCTGAGTCTGCTTATTATTTATAAGACCTTGAGCAAGTTACTTCTTTTTTCAGCTTCTTATCTGCAAAATTGTCATAACAATAGTATCTACCTCAGGTTCTAGTGTGGATTAAACACTTAAGAATTGGGGGGCACTTCTTAACATAATTTTATGAATATATGAATAGTTGTTCAGTTTATATACATTTGATATGTAAACAGTCAAGTCATGCTTAATGTTGAAAACAGCTATTTCCATTAAATGATTTTAAAATGCCCACTATCATCATTATTATTTAACATTATTCTCTGAAGGTATTAGGTAATGCAGTCAGACAAGAAAAATTTTAAAAGGTATAAATATTTGAAAGGAGGTGCGGTCTGATCGAGACTTTATAAAAGAGTTTTGACACAGGCAAAGTTAGATAGCCAGGGGAAGAAGGAAAGACTTGATCTCTGTGGCTCTGAGACCAGGGTTAAGGTTTGAGCAGCCAGGAAAGGAAACAAGTTCCCTGTTACTATAGTTGTCTAATCTGAGGTTGGACACCGTGTTGCAGGTGCTGCAATAGGGGTCTCCCATGGGCTGGGAAGGGTGCTAGGGAGTTTCTGAGGAATTGCACAACAGTGGGATTCTAAGGTTCTTGCAGTGAGGTTAGAACTTCCCCTGTCTTCGCTGAAATGAGTCTCCAGCCTTTTCTCATTTATTTAAGTGGAGTGCGTGTGGCGGAGGGAGGGGTGATGGTTGAGCCAGCAAACTGTGCAGGGAGACGCTAACCCCCACTTGTGTCCTTAAGCCCAAAGTCTCGGGGTGGCTCTCTCATCTGCAATTTATGCTAGTCACCATTTCTCACAGTGTGGTAAATATACATACTCTGGTGGTACAATAGATGAACTTAGGCGGCACATGGAGGAACAATTTGATTTTAATACATTTATATTTATTTTTGTGTGTATGAGACTTTTATAAATCAAAACTATGATGCCGTGGATATTATTGAAAGGGAAAATCTGTCTTCATGCTTCAGGCAGAGAAGCAGAGGGTAAGGAGAGGAGAAATTCCAGGGCCTGGAGCCAGAGAAAACTTAGGAGTGACCCAAACATGGCTATGGCATCCTAACACCCAGCAGAAGTCAAATGGGGACCAAGCCGCTGCAGACAGGCAGTGCTGCTAAGCAGAACATACTCTGCAAAGCCAGACAGACTTACAGCCCAAAGCCCGGTCACTAGCCCGGCCTCTGGCCTGCACAGGGTCAAAGGGGCATAGATAGCCCAGTACAGGTGACAAGGAAGGCAGGCCTGACACTAGCTGCATTTCCAGGAAGGCCAGCAACAACTCTGACAAGTGCTTTGTGAGATGTCTGGATCCCTCAAATAACCTCTGCTGACTGTCCCCATGGGGATTAGCGATAACTCCCTTCAGACATGGGAAGAGGATGCAGCCCCGTTGGGGGACTTTCAAAAGGGCCAGGGTATCAGAGCAAACTCTGTCTTGCTACACATCTAAGAAGCAGGGGAAGAGGAACCAGGAGGAAGAGTGGGTGACAGGCTGGAAATGAGAGAAGGGTTTCCTTCTCTGTCTGGAGACAAGTGGTCCTTGGAATATGACCTGCAAGATGGCAGTATAGCAGAAAGAGAACACTGACTGAGGAGCCCTCAGCCCTGGGTTTAAATCCACTATTGATTGGCTATGTGAACTTTCACATGTTACTGTAAAAGTGGATGATTATGCCTACCTTATAGGTTTCCTTGAGCATTAATGAGGTCGGATCACCCCATACAACCAGAGCTTGGCCATCCATGCTTTTTCAGTATAGCAGTGTCCCATTTGCATGTCATAGTGTTTATTTCTACAATGGTTTTATGTACACATGGTTCCACTCAGTCGCCTTATCTTTCTTTCCCTTGATAGATTGCGGGGCTGCTGAGAAAAATCTGTTCAAAATCTGTTCTCAAAATATATGGGTAAGAAGCCAGGCCCAGAACATGTCACCTTTAAGTACAATGGCAGTGGGTACAAAGGCCAAGGAGTGACACATGCATTTTGTGGGGAGTTGCAAAAGCAAACACAAGATAAAGAAAGCAAAATAAATAAATTTGAAGGAGTGGTCTAATCAATTTTGATGAGAGATACTCTCTATGGATAAGAAAAATGTGAGAATCTGCAGTGGAAAATAATCTCATGGCACTGTTTCCTGAAAAATTAAAGATGAGGTAGAAGGATTACCTAAAGAGCCAGGGTTTTTATGCCAGTCGTATGATTTATTTTGGAAGTAGATATCTTCTAGATTTTTTTACTGTGTGGATTTTAAAAAGTTATTTGTAGTGGAGGAGGGATAAACTCTCATAACCATAACTGCCAAGGGACAAGGACCCAGTGCCATAAAAAGACTTTCTGTTCAGTTCAGCCCCTTGATGAGGTTGGACAAGGCAATGTGGGGCTGGAGAGTTTGAGAAGAGAGTCTGGAGGAAGCCTAACTGCCGTATCGATAAAAAGAAAATGTGGGAGAAGTTCTGATACCTGCCACAACATGGATGAGCCTTGAGGGTATTATGCTAAGTGAAATAAGCCAGACACAAAAGAACAAATATGTATGCATATACGATTCCATTTATATGACGTATCTAGAGTAGTCAGAGTCAGAGAGACAGAAATAGAATGGTGGTTGCCAGGGACTCAGAAGAGAGGGGACAGGGGAGTTACTGGTTAATGGACACAGAGTTTCAGTTTTGCAAGATGAAGAGAGTTTCTGGAGATGAATAGAAGTGATAGTTGCACAATAATGTGAATGTACTTATTGCCACTAAACTGTACACTTAAAAATGGTCAAAATGGTGAATTTCGTGTGATGTCTATTTTACCACGATAAAAAAGTTGGAAAAAAATAAATGTGGGCTTTCTGGGGACAAACTGTTGGCAGGTGCGAGGACAGGGAAGGAGAAAGCAAGCGAGATGGCAAGGGGCATAGTCGTTATATGAGAGGCTGCCACCAGGGAAACATCCCCAGTGGGAGGACTTCAAAAAACAAGGCAATTTAATACTGACTGTGAAGCTGTTTGCTGGATCCACAGCAAATCCCCATCCAGCCCCTGATCTTGACTAAAGCCTACTGCATGCAAAGGTTTGTGTGAGTGGGATATTTGGGAAAACCTGGAGGGACTAAGTCTATCTGAATTGATGTGAAGTGGCTGAAAGTATGGAAAGGAGCTACAATCTATGGACTGAACTCAGTAGAAGTACGAACTCAGAGCCGCAGGTGACCATGACATTATAAATCATCAGTGCCTCCCTCCCCCTTTCAGGAAATTTGTAGAACTCTCAAGAAAAATATTGGACTTTCCAGAGGGTCAAGGCTATCCTCTTTAGAACTTAAAGGATAGAGACACCCTCAATGCATCTGGGTCACATTTATGTAATGTCCCTTTCCTCCTTGATCTCGCCAACGATCATTTTGCTAACCCTTATGTTTTTCAGAAATGTAAGCACAACTTTTGGTGAGGGTTGCTGTTTGTAAGAGTACAGTGGGATTCTAGAACCAGACGTATGGGGTTTGGATCTGGGCTCTGCCACTTACTATGTGGCCCCTTTCTGAGCCTCAGTCTGTTTATCTATAAAATGAGAGTGATAACATTAATACTCTTTCATAGAGCTTTTGGGAGAATCAAATATAGTACCACAAAGTATGTAGAACAATTCACATAGTGTTTGAAGATAGAGTGAAGAAATAAAATGGAGTTATTATAGTCAGGCTGCTAAATTATTAAAATTAAGTAGGCTGAGGCATGAGGAAACAATTACTCTTGTTTTAACTGACTATGGGAACTTAAACTTTTGAACTTTCCAGTCCTGCGTCAATATCTGGATAAGAATGAGTGAGTTGTGTGTTAATGCCTGGACATACATCAAGTCTTTAGTTAACCATCTCAGTGACCTCAAGAAGAAAATGTTCCATTGACCACATCTGAAGAATACCATCTTGGACCAATCCAAGGCCTAAGAATGCAGAACTGAATGAGCTTTTTCCTATGAGAACCCTCAGCTTTTCTTTCTCCTTAGGAACACTCTGGGTATGGCCTAGTTGTGTTTCCAGTTTGCAAACTCTAAGACCCTTGAGTAAATCTTTGTCGTTTATTTCTAGCCAAAGCCTCCTGACTCTCTTGAGTCAGTTAAGGTGTTCATCATTAGCTATTACTGAAGTCCCTGCCTCGGTGCTTAGTAGGAACTCAACAATTGGTATTGATTATTATTTTAAGGAGGCCTGTGTGTTCCTGACCTCTGCTCTAACCTACCCAGAACGCTATGTGTTTTGGCACAAGGGCAGAGCCCCTTTCTCAGGCCACCCCAACCACAATCTTCCCTTCAGTTCCTTGGAACGTAAAAGAACCAGATGAGCCCCACTTGGGGGGTGGCATTGGGCATTCTCCAAGGGAGTGGGAATGGTTCTGTGCAGCTCATCCCTTCTCCAGGAACTAACAATCCAAGCACAGACCTACTGCACAGGAGGTGGAACTGTCCTCTTAAAGGGAAGACGGCATTTTAATAGACCGTGTGTGATAGGAAAGTACATATTGCTGTTGAGGAGATAGGGGCGGAAGCAACCCTGAACTCCAGGCTGGCCCTTGAGCAAGGTGGGCAAGGCGCCACTGTCTCCTCAGCACTCTGCCATTGGCTTTGACGCTTTCTCTTCTGTGTCCTGGCTTGAATGCATCCGGAGAACTTGTGCTTTCCCGATATGCTCTGGAAGAAGGGGAGACACAACTGGAGGAGAGGTTGAGGAGGGGCTGGGTCCCTACCTGGGAGGGGCCCAGAAGACCTGGGTGGACCCGTCTCCCCAGAAGGCTCCCGGTGAATGCGCAAGAGCAGAGGGAGAGGTGTGAAAACCTGAGTCAACCCACCTTCTGCTCTTGGCTCTGGTGAGTGGGAGGAGCCAACTCCCTCCTCTGAGCCTCACCACACCACCCTCTCCTTTCTACATTCAGGTAACACATATCTATGAAGTGCCTACCCTATGCAGGCACTCCACTGGCCACTCAGGACACTTTACAGTCTAGTGTGGCAGAATAATGTACATGGTGGATACCTGTCTTCTCTCCCCTCCACCTCTACTCCCTTCCCCCCGCCCTGGTCTAAGGCACCAGGGTGACTGCAGCAGCCTCCTCCTTCATCTCCTTCATCCCCTCCTACCCCCCAAGAGTCCATTCTCTACACAGAAGCCAAAGGGGTATTGCCACACCCTGCTTATAACCTTCCGGTGAGACCCCATGCACTCTGCATGAGGCCACACACTTAGCCTTTCATACAGGCCAGCCCTGCCCACTCTTCTCAACTCACTCCGTATCACTGTACCCAGCCCACAAAGTTCCAGTCACCCTGGCCTGCTCTTTCACCAACACAGCAGGCAGGTAGGAGCCTTGCATAGGGCTGAATCCTTCCTGTCTTTCAGCCCAAGGAGTGCTCTCCCTATCTTGCTAATCCTATTGCATCGCTCTGCTTTATTTTTCTTAGAGCACCTATGCCCCTCCGATGTTTTTATTGGTTGTCTGCACTCCTCCTCCCTAGGTTGTAAGCTCCATGACAGCAGAAAATGGTTTGAATTCTTCTGCAGTGATTCCCAGAGCCTAGCACGTAGGTGCTGAATAAGTTTCTATTGAATAAAAGAATGAGTGAATGGATGAATGGATGAAATGAGCAGCTTCCTTGGGCAGAGACCTGTCTCCAAGGAGCCTTGAATCTGCTAAGGAATCCAGCCAGGATGGGTCTCGGTGAGCCCTCGGTGACCTGCTGCATGGACTCTTACCTGGTTTTTCGCTTTTTAGTAGAGAGGGTGTCTTCGTCTTCTTGGACTGGCTGTAACCCACAAAAAGAAGAGAGGGCCCAGAAAGGTCAGGCTGGAGCACACCACAGCAAAGTGGCAGGATGGGCGGGGAGGTGAGGAAGGTGCTCCAGGGAGAGGCAGAAGCTGACCTTCCTAGAGAACCAGCAAGTGTTCGTCTGTGACTGACCCCACCCCAAGCAGGACCCTGACAATTGTGACTCTTTTGCCTGCTGTGGCCACAGGAAACCAAGGCCCTCCTGTCCCAGAAGCTGTAAGGGAGGCCACTGTACTGGCCCTCTGCCAGGTCCCCACCCCACTTGCTGTCTTGGATTTTAATAATTTGCTCTTTTGACAAGTTTCCTACAAATCTGAGTAATGCTGGGCTTGTCAGTCAGGCCCAAGCCTGATCCTAGCTCCTCTGCATGCTGGGCTTGTCAGTCAGGCCCAAGCCTGATCCCAGCTCCTCTGTCCAGCCAGGTGACTTTGGGTCATTCGGTTGTTTCTGAGCCTTAATTTTCTCATCTGTAAGATGGAGGTGATACTGCCTCTATGGATGGTTGTATGGACTAGAAATATGTAGAGCACCCAGCGGTGTCAGGCAGACATAGTGGGCACACAATATTGCAAGTTCTAGTGCTGACTGTCAGGCCTCACTCACCTGCTTTCTGAAGCCTTCCCTCACCTTTCCTTTCCACAACTGGGCTCTTTCTCTCTAGTCATCCAGGACCCTTAATACCGACATAAAGGTACTACATAAAGGTACCGACATAAAGGAATGCATCACTTTCTCTCTAGTCATCCAGGACCCTTAATAGCGACATAAAGGTACTGCTGCCTGCCTTGTGTTAGCATTCCTTCTCTACTTGTGTCTTCCCAGAGACCAAGAGCTTCTGCAGGACTAGCTATGGCTTCTTCAGCCCTGTCTTGCTTTAGCTGACACAGGTCACCCCCTCAGCATCCCCACAGCTGGCAGCCAGAGTCTAGTCTGGCAGAGTAGGCCTTTGAGTAGTATGAGTAGCACTGGAGGGTTCCAGGAGAGGGCTGACCTCTTCCTCCAGGTCAGGCTCAGTCAGCCCAGGCTCTGACCAGCACCAGGCTCCCTTCTCTGGACCCCACTAGCCTCACCTGGAAGGACAGGTGCTAAACATGAAGGAGCCATCCTGAGAAAAGAGGGGCAGATGAAGAGTGTGAAGCCCACCTGTAGAGTGGTTGTTCCCTTTCTTGAGGTGGTTCCTGGACTTCCTGGAGCTGGTGCAAGAGTTGTTCTGTTGGGATGGAGTCTAGAGCCTGGGGAAGAAGCTGAGCCACTGCCGTCTGCAGGAGCCCTAGTGCCAAGTCTTTCTCTGTAAGCACAGCCAGGGGACAGAGTCCTCAGGGGCATGACTCCAGCCCCCATCCTGTCCCTAAATGGGACAGTCAGGAAGCAAGGCCCGGGCAGTTTTCTCTAATTATGTCACATTCTGCCCACAGGGCCCCACGGGGAGACCCCACTTCCCTCCTTGTGCCTTGTTCTTGGCTCACCTGTCTTCCACACACTGCGCCCTCTCTGGGAAGCCTGTAAGAAGCCCACCCCCTCATCTTCCCCTTCATTCTCCCCATCAGGGAGCCTTCTCCAATCAGCTCTCTGGCTCTTATCACTCCTCACCCTCCCACTTAGACATACTCTCTACCTACTGTCCCAGTGTATGTATGGGTGTCCATTCATGTGTTCATGTGCATATACCTGTGTGTCCTTATGTGTGGATATTTGCATCTATGCGTGCATGCATTTCCCACAGTAGTGGGTGAGAGGCTGTGTCTGCTAAGTCCCTCCCAGGTGCTGAGACTTGTGGTCAGTATGGAGAAAGGGTCCCCTCTGAGGAGTGGGGTCATGGAAATCTGAGGAATGGGAAGAGGGAGCAGCGATGTTGTCTGGCTGGAGAAGGTTTGTTTGGGCTTCAAAAAGGAGAAGAGGCCCAGGCAGAAGGCCCAGGCCCTGGCATGGGAGCTGAATGACGTGAGCGTACTGTAGAACCAGAAGACAGGGCCCTCAGCAGCCTCCACTCAGAGGACCTGGGCACAAGGCTGTGTCTTACCCTTTGGGGGAGCGTAGAGTAGCCAGAACTGGATAGCATTCAAAGAGTCTGTTTGCAAGATCTGACATAGAAGTTCCAAGATCTGTGGGCAGGAAGACAGGCCTGGGTCAGTGTGCTGGACAGCATGTTCCAGCTGGCAGCACAAGTGCCTGCCCCTGCAAAGTGGGATCCCAGAGCCATATGCTTGGCTGAACTGGTACCCACGATGGTTCCTGGCTCTTTTCTGTGTGAGGCTTGGCATTTTACAGAGGGCTTTCTCTCCCAACAGCCCTGGAGGAAGATTTTTAACCCCCTTACTGGACAGGTGAGGAATCCAAGGCCTTGAGAGAGGAGGACACCTAGCGGGAGATTGTGGCAGAACCAACCCTCAAAATCAGAGGCTAGTTGTATCCCCAAAGTCCCTCACTGGGAAGGCAGTCAGAGCTGGCCAGTCAGCTCCTCAAAGATGCAGTGAGTCCTGAATGCCCCAGTCCTTGGTGTGGGGATTTCAGGGACCCCAGGGGCCTCCCCACCCTGAAGTTCCCACGTTCAGAGTCTGGAGATGTTAGCAAAGAGGTGGGATGATCTCGGGCAGCCTGAGGGTTGGGGCTGGCTGGCTCTGCAAACTGCCCAGCTCGGGGCTCCTTACAGCTGGACAGCATGCCTGCTTTGCTCCCAGCCGCATCCTCAGCCTCTGCCATCTTTGCTGCTTCAGGGCCCTTTCCCCACTGCATTCTCCAGTCAAGGATCATTGGAAAAAGATCCAGCTCTGTCTTGGATGGGTTATGGGGACTCCCTAGGCCGGGATGCTGATGGCGGCTGTGTCTATGGTTGGCTGGAGTTGGAGCCCTCGATGGGGAGTAGAGCACCTGGTATCCTAGGAAAGTGGGGTTCTTTCTTTCAGGAGACCCCACTTGAACCGGTGGAAGTCAGAGGGGGGCCTAGGCCCGGCCTCTCCCAGGCCTATGCCTGCTAGGATGCCCAGCCTCACCCCCAGGTGCCCGCCCGCTACGGCGACCCCACCCCCACTCTCCCCAGGGTCCTTCTCCATTCCTGGCATCCAACTTACCTGCCCTGTGCCCCCTCCCCACGGAACCCGAGAACCTACTTCCAGGCAAGGTGAGGCCGCCCTATGGTGGAGAAAGTACTGTGTTCTAGTCCTGGCTATGCTGCTCCATCTCTGGAGACCTGGGACACAGAATGTTGCCTGGAAGGGCCTCAGCCTACCCCTTCTGTGGAATGGGGGTCTTAGGCCCTGTCTGCTCTATTCACTTCACTGAACTGTTGTAAGGCTCCAAAGGGACAGCATGCTTAAAAGCACTGGTCACAGGGGAAGGTGTCAAGATGCTGGCTCATTGTTTGGCTTTTTTTCTAGAGAACACCTGTGCATTTTAACAGGGACTTTCAATGCCTTTACCCACTGGAACGAGTCATGGACTCATCTCAGGCCTTTGATGAGGAAACTTGAACATGGAGGTGGTGGGCTTTGTGCTTTGTTGTAGCACAGACCAAACCTCTCTCAGAGTGTGGGGTCACCAGACTGGGACCAGCCTTGTAGGCTGTAGGGGACAGCATACTGGGGTATGGTCTGAGGACATACTAGGCAAGATAGTGGAATGTACTGGGGTATGGTCTGAGGACATACTTCCTCTCCATGCTTCTCAATTCCACTGCTGTAGCTCCGTTTAACTCACCAAGTGCCACAGCTGGAACAGACCTTTGTGATAATGTGTTCATGCTCCCAATTTGGCTACATCGTGGAACTGAGACCCCAAGAGGCGAAAGGACTTAACAAAGTGGGAAAGGCTTACACAGAAACCTGGAGGCAGCAGGGGCTTAGAATTCAGGCTCCTGACTTCCAGGTCTGGGGTTTCTGAGTCTTACAGTCTTAGGTGCAAGTATCCCTGGGAGACGCCACACTTCACAGCCATTTATGAGTCCTTGTTGGGACTGCTGTGAGCCTGGGAGCAGTACTACCCTGGTCTCTGCCCTCAGGCCAGGGCCTCCATAGGGCCGCAGCCACCGGCCTTCCCAGGGTCTCACCAGCAGCTCCTGGTCCTGCAAGACGGAGGTCTGGACTCCTCCATCTCTGTGAGAAGAGAAGTTCCGTTGGCCCTGGCGGGAGCTGCGGCGACCCAAGGCTCCTGTGGAAGCTGGGATGAGCCTCCCTGTCTCCGCTGAATACTTCGCCCCTTGCTCCCGCTGAGGCTCCTCCTTCTGCTGGGAGAAAAGTGGCCAGACTCTCCAGGCAAGGAGAGAGATGGGGGAGATGGGGGAGATGGGGGAGATGGGAGAGATGGTGGCAGGGGAGGAGGGTGGGGAGGGAGAGAAAGAGGTGAGCAAGGAGATGAGGGAGAAGGCAGCCAGAAGAGAAGAGGCTGGGTCACATCTCCAGGGCACCCATCACCTCCTCTCCTGGAATCACAGCATTGCGGGGACCCGGGAAGTCCACCAGGCCAGCCCCACCCTGTCCTTAGATCCTTCTCCCCAGCGGGGGCCTCTTCCAATAAAGCCAAAGCTCTTACTTCTGGAAATTAGTTGAATGCTGGCCACATTCTTCCTCCTTGGGCAGACCCTCCCTGCTGCCTCTCTCCCCCTAGCCCATCAGAGATTTGAAAACAGTATCCTGTGCCAAGACCCCCACAACCTGCCTTAATTTTTAGCTCAGCTACACCCAGGTCTGACCCCCACAGCTTGGCATCCTTTCTTAGCCCTGTGAAACCCTCCTAAGCCAAGTCTGTGGGCCCAAGGTCTGTGGTCTCCAGCACCTACCACTCCAGTTAAGACTGGTAGTATCCTTCTCATTCTAAAAATAAGAAAACTGAGACCCAGAGGGTTTAGCTTAGTTGCCCTGAGCACCACAGTGAGTTAGCTGCAGAGCAGGGACAAGAGCTCTGCTGCCCAATAATACAAGGGCGGGATGGGACTCCGCCACAAAGGGCCAGGCCTGTCTTAGGACCAATTCCACTATCTTCAAGCTGCCTCCCACTTGTTTTTAGTGCTTTGTCAGCAAATAGCCCCCATGAGGCCACCCCATCCTGTTTAAAAACCGTCAGTGATTCTCTAACTCTTTGTGAGATTAGACACTACACTGGGTTCAGAAATGACGATGAGCTGGCCTCGCCCACATTCTAAATTGGCCCCTTCCCACCTTCTACCCCATTGCTGCCCACTGTACCCTGTCCTGCAGTCCTCCGCTTTCTGAAGACGTCTCGCATTTCCTAGCTTCTGAGTTGTTGTGCTGCAGGCCCCCACTGGGGTGCCTCCCCTCTTCACTTCTATGCTAGGAACTCTCTTGGCTTTCTCCACCTGGGTGTGTTCTCTGCCCCTCTGAGCCCTCACTGTGGCCCTCTCCCTTCAACTGGTATCCGTCAGCCCCTCCTCCCCAGTGCCGACAGCATCGCTTCAATAAAGGCTAGCTCTTCTGCTGCTCAGGTTGAACCGACCTGGGAGGGATTTCCTTACAAAGGGAAGGATCCATTTCATCTCTTCCCAGTCAGTTCCTTTGTTCTGCACTCACCTCCTTGTTCTTCGGCTCATTCTCCTTGGTGAGGACAACCACCCGGGAAGCCAGGTCCTTTAACTCCTTCTTCCAGGCCTCTGGGAGGAGGAGACAAGATCCTGCCAACTGATGTCTGGAGCCTCCTCCTTGCCCTCCCTGTGGCACCAGGTGTCAGGAGGGCTGTAAACGGAAGAGCCTCCTCTCCCCACAGCCTTGCACCCATATCTTAAAGAGAAAGGGGGAGGTGGTGCCCTTGGGAGAAGGATTAGGTATCACACCATTGGTGGGTGGGAAAGTAGGTGTGGAGGGGTCTGATGATGTCCTGGCCTGTGGCCTTACTGGGAGACACCGGAGAACATTTGGCTATGTGTGCCAAGATGCGAGTGGCTTAATCTTGCTTTGCCTCTTTTAGGAAATTGAAGCCAGGGCTGAGAATCAGTGGATACGCGGCGCCAGTTATTAAAATATTGAACTGCTCCTAAAGAGCTTGTTACAGAGCACTGAGCAAGTCTTCCAAACCTCTCTGCCTTGCAGTCTGTCCCAGCCCCGCCCCCAAGATCCCCCCCACCAAAGGAAAGGTTAAGATCTGGCAGCACAGAGGCCTCCAGAATGCTGATGCAGTGCTCTCTGTGGCTGATTGTTCTGATGCTGGTGCCTGAACATATAAGTACTAAATATTTCCAATATTATCCCTGTTTATGGCTGTAAGTCACATGACAATTGCCCAAATCTGTGTATCCTCTGCTTGTTATTACTCCTCAAACACCTCAAATCCAAGCAGGGGCACATTTCTGAGGATCTGTGGGGTGGGGAATAATGCAGTTGCAGATGCTCAAGGAAATGAAGAAAAATCGAAGTACTTCACCAGATCTCACCAACGTATGACCTAAGGCTCATTCCTTCTCAGGCACCTGCCCCAGTGGGGCAGCCCTTGGAGAGAGGGTGCCCGAGGCAGAGGGTCTATGGCTCTAGTACTCACCAGAAGAAAGCCAGGGGTCTTGATTGGACTGTGGGTCTCCAATGGGGACAGAGATGGTGGGCATTCCCATCAGATAGTGGGATGAAAGTGCAGTTTGAAGTAAGGGATCCAGAGAGAACTCGTCCCTGACAACACAGACGGGCTTCCCGGTAAGATCTGCGAAGGGGTAGAGGCTGTGGGAAGGAGTCATGGCTGGACCCCAAGAGCTCTAGGAGGCCAGGAAGAGGCTGGTGGACAGGGAGAGCACTGGCCCCACCTCTTCCAGTAACCACGGTTCATAGATTCATTAGAGCCCAGAGGGCTTCTGCGACCACCCAGACCTTACCCCTGGGGACACTTAGAATGGACTGCAAAGGGAAGTGCTCAGGGTCATGCAGTGAGTCAGGCTTCCAGAGACTCTAGTCCTAGGTCTTTTTGGCTTTCTACAACAAAGCAGTGATTGCAGGTGTAAGCATATAGAAGTAAGCCGGGGCACCTGGGGGTGGGGACAATAAGCCATAGTCCGTGACAAGAGGGACTTGGACTCAAACCACAGGGAATGATATCTAGCTAGACCCTCTGGATAAAACATCTTGCCATCTGTCAGCCTGTCCAGGGCTGAATGCAGGGTAGCCTGGAGGTGGTGGCAGGCGGTTTACACTTGAGGACCCTTCTGGCCTAAGGTCTGTGTGACATTATTTTATTAGATAGTCAAGCTTTAAGGACCAGCCTGGTTAGTACTTAACATTGTGGCTCATTCTTTCCTTCCTAAAATACTTTCTTTCTGGTGCCAGGACCTGTTCACTCTCTTGGCTCTTCCTAGCTCACCAGCCATGCTTTGTTTCCTCGCTGCTTACTCCTCATCTCAACCCCTTAGCCTTGGAGTTCTGGAGCTCAGTCTCCAGGTTCTCCTCTCCTGTATCTACACGGTCTCCTGGATAATCCCACGCAGGCGTGCCACTTCCAACACCATCCCTCCTTGAATCGCTCTCACATTTGCATTTCTTCCCTGAACTCCATACCCAATTGCTTCCTCTGTACCTCTACCTGGATGTCACATTTTTGCATCTCCCAGGTCCCAATCTCCTTCCTCACCCTCCACTGGCCCTTTTTGAAGTTTTCTTTGTCACAACCAATGAAACTCTAGTTTTCCAGTTTACTCAGGCCAAAAACCTGGGAGTCAACCTTGATTCCTCTCTTCTTCTCACACCCCATTTTTGATCAATCAACAAATCCCATTGCCTTTACTTACCTTCTGTATATCTCTAGAGCAGGGCCACTCAGTCTTCCACTGCTACCTCCCTGGTATAAGCTATCACCTAAACAGAGGCCCATAGATCACTGCTGCCACTTTGCTCTTAACTTTCCAAGGGTTCCCACCTGACTCAGTGAGATGGCTTAGGATGACTACAATGTCCTCTAAGGCCCACACGATGGGGTCCCCATTGCCCCTCTGCTGCATCTCCTTTCTCCCCCTCCTTCCTCTGCTCCAGCCACATTGGCCTCTGTGCTGTTCCTCTAACAGAGCCGAGATGGCCCTTGCCTCAGGGCCCTTATACTTGCTGGTTCCTCTGCCTGGGACATTGTTCCCCTTGATATCCACATGGCTGTTTCATGCCCTCTCTTCCTTTAGTTCTTTGCTCAGATGCAATGCTGTCGACCAGCTCTCCCCTCTATAGCCTTAGCCCTTACCACACTCTTGACACCTTAGCTATTTCCTATCCTTCCCCACCAGAGAGTCAGCTCCATGATGGCAGAAGTTGTCTTGTTCATCGTTGTATTCTCAGGGTCTGAAAAAAATGTCTGACTCATACATAGTTCATACTCAATAGATACTTGATGGATGAAATGACCCGAGTTAGAGAACGGAGCTCAGCTCTGAGGCAGAACATTCATCCCTTTTTCTGATTTATAAGATGGGAGATTTGGTGGTAAGGGACATCTCGTAGGGATATACGGTCTGCCCTTATAACCTGCCCCCCAAGTCAAATCTCGGCTTGGCCAAGTTCTTGCAAGTGGCCAAGCAACCCTGTGACCCTGACCAAGTCTCCATTCTCTCTGGGCCTCTGCCTGGAAACAAGAGATGGGTCTTCCCTTTCCAATTTTCAATACCGCCCCACTGCCACTGGCCAGGCCCTGGCCTACCCCAGCCCTACCTTGGATGTGGGTCACACGCTGGGGGTGGGGGTGGTGCCGGGAGAAGAAAGAGTGATGACTGAGGCGGCCGAAGCGGTAGGTGCCAGAGGTTTGGGGCTTGGGGGTCTTCAGTTCCTTTCGGATCACGTCGAAATCCACGATCCCTGGGACCTTCAGTTCTTTCTGTGGTCCATCATCCTCGTGGTTTCTTGGCCTGTGCCCTGACTTCTTCTCAGGCTTCAGCTCAGCCTTTGGACTGAAGAAGAGGGTCAAGGAGAAGCTAATGGAGCCTTCTGGAAGTAGCATCCACCCAAGCTCAGAGCCCAGTGCTTATCACAGAGTCCATTCCTGAGATACTCTGAAACATGGTTTCCAGGATTTCTCTACCACCCCTGAGCCCCACAGCTGGGCCTCCCCCAGGGTTCTTCCCCATGAGACAATTCAGTCCCAGGAAGCCTTCTGTCTTTCTATAGCTCTTTAGCAGGGAGCTAGGATCCATCTGAGAGAACTCACATGGAATCTCCCAGAACTCCAATTTTCTCCCAGAAAGCATCTTTAAAAGCTAGAAAGAGAAGCCATTGACCTACCTACTTACCCAAATACCTGGTTGGAACAAAGGCACATTATATACACCTCCAGGGCAAGAGGGCTGACCCCAGCAAGGGCCTCTCCCCAAGCCAAACTGTTGGCAGCCCAGGAGAAGCCAGCTACAGGCTGTCACTCCCCCCTCCCCCGCCCCCGCCATCTGGGGCAGTTTTGGCCCAGACTAAGCGTTGGGGCCAAAGCTGGCTGCCAAGGCCAGACTACATCAGCAAGTCCTTTCCTTGTGGGGGCCCTTCCCAAGAGATGCCGAGCTGATGAGGCAGCTCTGAGGGCTGCAATGCCGCTGGAAAGCTTCAAGCTCTTGTTTCGCTTCGCTGGAGACAAGCTGTCTCAGGTTCTCTGTCCTCCACCCTGCACCCCTTCCCTCTCCTGAGGATGCTGTGCCTCTGCCCCTGGAGGAAGAGGTCAAAGTCGGTCCAGCAAGGATCCAGAAATGGGTTGCTCTTTGTCTGGTGCCTGGTGGGACCACCTGCCTGCTTGTTGTCTGCTTTCCCTTCTCCTGGTGGCCCTGGCTGGGAGTCCCTCTGGAGGAGTATAGATGGATTCTGGATATGCTAAGCAAGGCGTTCTGCCCCAGGACCCTCTGAGGATTTTGCTGATCAGGCCCCTGAGTTTCTTGTTCCGTCCTGGATTCGCCTCTAAGAGATCTGGGACTTAAAGAAATAAAGCAAACCTTCTCTGAAAGTCACAGTTAGTTGGCCTCCCATAACCCCAAGTAACAGAGGAAGTCACTCCCTGAAAACCCCTGGAATTTCTGTGCTCAGTGCTGGCTCTTGCCACCACATCCTCTTCCCACCCAAGGAGAGGCCTAGCCTGTGACCTGTGCTACCTCAGGCCTGAGAACCCATTAGGGGCCTGGCTGATGGCAGTGGAGGGTAAGGAAGAACTACCTCTCTTGGACCTCCAGTTTGTTGAGTTCCACTGAGGCCACCTTTGTCTTCTACCCTGTTCCACTCCCACTACCTCCTCTGTCAGCAGGATAGGATGATGCCTTACCTCATCAGTGGATGTCCAGCCAATTGTATTTTCACCTCTGCAGCCATTGTGGGGTTTCTAACAGAATAAAGACCAGTATACTTAATACTAGTGTTGAAGATGAATATCAGGACCTCTTATAGACTGGCAGTGGGAATGTAAACTGGAACAGACACATTTGGGGGAAAAGATTGGCAATATCTTGTAAAATTGAACATTCGTATGCTGTATCACCCAGCAATTCCTCTCTCAAGTGTATACCCCAGAGCGACTCTTACAGATGTGCAACTGGGGTTATGTGTAAGAATATTTAAACTAACATGATTCAAATTAGCAAAAAACCTGGGGATAAGCCAAGTGTCCAATGTCAGAAGAATGGATAAATAAGCTGTGATATATTCAGACAACTGAACGTTATATTGCAGTGAAAATGAATGAACCGCAGTTACACACAACAGCATAAATTAATCTTACAAATAGAATGCTAAGTCAAGGAAAGCAAGCTGCAAAAGATCATGTAGCCTGAGGTCCTTTTTAAAAATAAAGTTCAAAAACAAGTAAAATGATCATCAACATGTGCTGAAACAAGAAAAAAAAAGCCAGAAAGTGCTAAGCATGAAATTCAGCTAATGGCTATTTCTGAGGGCAGGTGGCGGGGGGTCAAGCAGCAGAGGAGCACATAAGATGTATTAGTGATGGTATTCTAGTTATTGGGTTGGGGGTGGTGCATTTGCTGGTGTCCATTATATTATTCAATAAGCTAATTAAATGACAAAAATGAAAGATGATAGGAGTCAAAGCCAAGAATAGTGATTAATCTAAATCTCTGGACCAGAATATATATACATATACGTAGAGCTGAAATGTTGGGGGTTGCAAGTGGCAGAACTAAGGTTGAGACAGGAAATCAGTGCATTCTGAGAATTAACCCTCAGAGTCACGGAATCTTCAAGGGACCCCAAAGACCCCCAGAGCCAGCCTTTCATCAGGTTAGGGTGGAGGGATGGGCAGTGTTGCCTGAAGTCAGGGAAGGGGAGAGACTCTGAGGTGACACAGAAAGGAACCAGGAATCCTGACCCAAAGACTCCTGATCTTTTCTCTAAAGAGAAAAAGTTGGCAGAGCTTCCTTTGAAGGAAACTTTGGACATCCCCGATGACGGGGGCTGGACTCTAGAGCACTTAGAGGCTGTAGGCTTGACAATAGAGCGTTCGGAAGCCCCAAACCACCTGCCTACAGGAAAAGGTACTGTTTAGAACAGAGACTTTCAAATGCTTTTGACTGTGACCACAGTAAGAAACTCATTTGTGCATCATGACCCAATTCACACACATATTACACGTTCTTCTGTGTGGATATGAAACTGAAGCGAGTATATCCAAAGCAATACTCATCCTTGCTACGTATGATGCACACTGATATTTTCATCCTCCTTGTTTTCTTTTATAAATGTTAGACATCCATTAAATCGATTTTATAAGCCACTAATGGGTTACACCACACGGCTGCTGCAGAGAGGTCAGCAGGGACTCTAGCGGGTCAGGTTTGCCTTTTCCTCCACTTACTTCTCCCCCTTGGCTCCCAGCCAGCCAGGCATAAGGGGTCCTAACGCTTACACCAATCCTGGGACAGCACTTCCCTTTCCCTCTATGGGCTCCTCTGAGCTCTCCCCTGGCCTGAGACTGGCTATAGTGTCCATTTCCTCCCCTCGAAAGATCCCTGGACTCACCGAGGCAAGTGCCCACTATAGCATGTGGATGAGAAGCCCCTGCTGCCAGAGTAGGAAGGAGTAAGAGGACGGTCAAAGGGAAGGCTTGTCAGTTCTGTGGGCAAGTCTGTCTGCTCTGTGACTGCATGAGCCAGAGGTTGCTAGGTTACCCCTTCCCCACAACTCTAGAACCACTCCCCTGCACCCCTCTCCTCACCCCCACCCAGCTCCTTTTACCCCTTCTGGAGGGGCAGGCAGGGCTCTGCTCTCCCTCCAAGCTCCTTCTCCTCCTCCCAGTCAGCACTTTCTATGGGGACCAAGGGGGAGAATGAGAGTCAGGGGCTGCTTTCAGCCAGCGAAAAACTGGCATAGAAGGTTGGCCATGCTGGGTCCCAGCTTTCTCAGCCCTACTGGGCAGGAAGCCACCATGAAGGACTCTGCCTCCAAGCATCCTGTGTGTGGGGATTGATTTGCACAGAGCTATCTTTTAGATGGAGAGGAGAAGGCCTCCAACATGACCCAGAGCCTCCCTCTAGCCCTACTGTAAATGATCACTGGGTGGGAAGAGCCTGAGTTTTCAGTGGGGCAGGGGTTTCAAATAGATTCTGAAATTCTCTAGATATCACCTTGGGTAAGCGGCCTGCCAGAGATGCAGAACAGTGCTAAGAATGCTCTGTTCAAATCCCAGTTCTGCTGCTTCCTAGATGTGTGTCCTTAGACACTGTTCTGATGTCTCTGAGCCTCAGTTCCTGTGTCTCTGAAATAGAGATGATACTTGCACTTATTCTCACAGGATTGTTGGAAAGACTGAGTGACTCAAGGTACATGAGAGTGTTTAGAACAGTGCCTGTCACCAAGTATGATCTCTTATTATTCCCTTCTCTGAACCTGTAAAATGGGGTACCCCCACCTACCTCTGAGATCCTTCTGAAAGACAAATGAGCTAATGGAAGTGAAGCACCTAGTCATATGCCTGGCACACAAGAGATGCTCAAAAATGATATCATGATATGATTATTGTTATCTTGATGAAGGTGAGATTATAAAGTGGGAGAGGTCAGTAGCCTGAGAACTGCTTTGGGTAATTAACTTTATTTGTCTGAGGTTCAGCTCAGATAACTGTGAAATGGAATAAGGATAATGCTTGGTCCATGGGCCTGTGGTGAGGTCAAGGCTGCAAAGGGTGCAAACAAACTCTGTAAACTATGGAAAGGTTTGCACGTAGTACTTGATGCTATCCTAGGAATGAGGCCTCTGGCCCTCCAAACTGATGAGGGCAGGCCTATTCAGGGGTCTTATCCTCAGTACCCCTGGCTTCATATTAGTGGCCTGATGTTTCTAGACTCTGTGACCTCCCCCTGCAGAGGAAGGAAAGGAAGGAGAACAGCTAGAGGCAAACTCAAGTCCTTTGCTAAGGGATGAGGATTCAAACCACTGTGGAGACTTGCTGGAGAGTGGCATCTGATCCTGGCTTTGCCCTAAGTGCTTCTCCATTGCACAGGTCAGAATGTGCCCCCATTTAAGCTTTGGCTTCTCCTGGGCCTGTCTCAGCAGG